TTAAATAACAAAATGGACAAGGCCTTGTAAAATTGGGCAGCAGCCAGTCTAAGAAAAGGCCTACTCTGAATTCAAGATTGCGACAACAGGAAAGCACTTTATATACATTTCACAAAAAGGTACTAGAAATTTATAGATAATAAAAAAAAGGAATCTTTTTTTGAAAATCAGTATTACCCTATGCAAGACAATAAAGCCACTAAGACATAAGGAGTTATAGAGTGTGGAAGAATTAGAAACAGAAACATTAATAAGATGAGGAAAGAGTAATCAGGAGGACAGTAGATAGCGATTGACATTGTATTCAAATTTTTACAGATTAACATTGGCTGGAAAGCATGGAGCCAGAAGGGAGTTCCACAAGCAAGAAGTGCAAGAAAAGAAACTGTTCGCATAGAACTTATGGTTACAATACCTCTAGCCAGCTCAACTGTAAATTGATGAGATTTCCAGTGAGAAGTGCAAGAAAAAAAACTGTTAGCAGAGAGCTTTGATTGCTTTCGCCTTGAAGGGATATAAAATTCAAATAAGATAAAAAGAAAAGTTACTTATTTACATACACACACTTCATATAGATTAGCTTCCCCTGGGGAAATAAGAAAAGTAAGAAAGGGATTTAAAAATAGATGCATGAGAGCAAGAGAAAGTTAAAAGTAAATGCTCGATAAAAAGATTCTTTTATCTGTGTGGATTCACAGTAACATCAGACGAGCTCATTAACCATTACTATTGTTCAACAACTTAGCCAAGTCGGGTACAAGTTAACAATAAACAGGTAAAAATGTGAAGATTTAAATTACAAATTAAATTTATAAACTTGGGTACTTGTGAACTGTCATTACATTTTGCGTACTAGTGATCCAGAAAAGAGATGCAAAAAATAAATAAAATAAATAAACTAATATTGCATTTTTATTAAATAAGTATTTATTTTAATCATTAAATTGTTTTTAAAATAGTGGGAGTATTTTTTGTATGTTAAATAATAAAACTTTCAATTTTTCCCAAAAAATGAATGAAAATTTATTGTACTAAGCTGTGCACCCGAGTAAAACCAACTGTACTTTGTACCCCCCCCTTACCTGTTTGCACTTCTCCTCAGAAGTCACAGAATTTTATATATAGACAGAAATCTGAATTACATTACATCTACTGGTGTGCGTATTTGAGATTTTTAATAAAGAGGTTGTGTATTTAGGCAGGCTTTGAGTTTTTTGCATCACCTATGCATGTTTTTTGCATCACCTATACATGTTTTTTACATCACCTATACATATGTTTTTACATCACCTATACATATGTTTTTTTGCATCACCTATGTTTTTTGCATCACCTATACAATGTTTTTGCATCACCTATGTTTTTTGCATCACCTATACAGTGTAACCCGGATATAAGAGAGTTGTCGGGACCGGAGACGAAGTCTCTTATATCCGGGTTTTTCTTATATCCGGGTTTGGTCTATTTTATATACATTAACACAGGCTCTAATTTGGGACCAGAGAAAATCTCTCTTATATCCGGGTTTCTCTTATATCCGGTTTACACTGTACATGTTTTTGTTAACAAGACTAAATATGTTTGTTAAGTTTTACTTTTATTATTCTTGTTCTATGCAAACAAGCATTTTCTTTTCTGGACTTAATTATAGAATTTGTTGATTACAAGCATTTCGTATTCTAATTTGTGAAATTAAATATAATGAAAAGATGCCTATCTTAACTTATTGAAGATTTTCTCTTATTTTCATTTAGTTTTCCTTATCTTTAGATCTGAGGAATTTCTGGGGAATCTATATTAAACTGTTATCTGTATTTGTTTTTTGATGACAAATCTTGGGAGGTTAGTTTTCAAATCAACGTAACATTTTAAAATACTACATTTATTAGAAAATTTATTCAGCTTAAAAATACAGGATACATGAGAAAATTCTACTTGTCAGCTTTTCCTTATTAACCAAAAGAGGTTAGTGCCAAACCAAAATAAAACTTAACCTTTGCTCTTGCAACACAGATGCCCGTTTCGATAGAATTCAAACAGTGTGTATGTGTTTGTTTACATAGGTTTGAGTGCACACATGTTTAAACATTTTTTTAAATAATATTATTCAGTACCAAATATTTAAAAAGTTCAATAAAAGTTTATAATTATCAGAAGGGGTTACAGGATGTGGAGGAATTCAGAACAGAAACACCAATAATGAGGAGAATGAAATAAGAGAAAAGAGTAATCAGGAGGATGGTAGATAGTGATTGACATTGTATTTAAATATGTGAAGATTAAAATTGGATGGAAAGCATAGAGCCGGAAGGGAGTTCCATAAGCAAGGCAGTAAAGCCACTAAGACACAAAGGGTTACAGGGTGTGGAAGAATTAGGAACAGAAACATTAATAATGAGCGGGAAGAGAAAAGAGTAATTAGGAAGATAGCAATTAACATTGCATTTTAATATTTGAAGATTAAAGTTGTCTGGAAGGCATGGAGCCGGAAGTGAGAAGTGAAAGAAAAGAAACTGTTTGTATAGAACTTAGTTTTATAATACATCTAGCCAGCTCAACTGTAAATTGATGAGATTTTAAATCTAAATTTTAAATCTAAAAGAGAAAGTATGAGTATACATGAGGAAGAAATACCCCAAATTTAATGAAAACAAAGTTTCATCGTCAAAATCTTTATGTTATTATTAAGAAGAGTAAAGTCATTAAAATGTTATTGCTCAGCCCAGTGGAGGGGTTGTCCAGACCGAGTAGGAGGGGGATATATTTTATGTTTTAATTCAAACACAGTTAAATTGTGTGTACGCTTGTTTGTACATTAAATGGTACAACCACAAATAAATCCCTCCCACACAACACAGACATACGCACAGTCGCTTCTAGATTATTATTATTATTATTAGACAGCCATGGTGTATATCCGGGCGTCTCGAGATGGGGTGATACCGTAGTATTTGACGAGTTTGTTAATATTATTGTGTATTGGATTCGATCCTTACAGGTTTTCCATGTTACTTTTAGTTTTGATAAATAGTTCGTATGTTTCCAATTCAAACTTCTCCCCCAACAGGACCCTTCGCCCCGACCGCCTCCCGGGCCAGGTGCTTCGCTTTAAAACTGCATTGTGGAAGAAGGGGACTTGCGGGTAGCAACTTTTTAAAATAAAAAGATGCCTTCCGACTCACGGTTTTCCTTTTTTTAAAAATAGAGCAAAAAAGATATGCGAGTTTATTTTATCTACAGACCATAAAAGTCGTTTTCTCTTTGTTTAGAAAACAAACATAAAAAAAATCTTTTTTTTTTTTCACTCTTTACAACGGGATGTGAAGCGATTTATTTACTCAACAAAGCAAGTAAGACATGAAATATTTTAAAAATTAATTTTTTTTTTTTAAGTTTTATAATGCAAAAAAGCAAGCTGCAAATTGGACTAAAAAAAAAAGTTTAAAATAAAAAATAATTAGTTTTTTTGTTTTTTTTTTGCACAAACGCATTTTTCAGAATTTAAAGATTTTGCTAATTAATAGCTGAGTTTAGGTTTCAGTCTTGAGACTTAAAGTAGAATTTTTCCGTTTTTAAAATATCGACCTTTTTTAAACAGCATTTTCATCAACCAAGTTAATTGGGTCAAGTTGAAGATATATTTTCACTTCCAGTGATTGTTTATCTCTAAGAAGACGAACCACAGGTAAAAAGATTAAAGAACAAAAAGAAAAAAAATGAATTTCTAGGCACAAGAAAAATGGAAAACAAAAGAAAGATCTAGTTCTAAAAAAAAAAAAATTAGTTTAATTTTATTTTTATTCTCCTCGACATAATTACTATTAATTTGAAAATCTATTTTTAGCAATTAAAATAGGTAGAAATAAAAAGCGACTGTTTTTTGGGGTTTTTTTTTTTTTTAGCTAAAAATATAAATAAATTTCTTTGTCATGTTAATAAGTGGGGAAAATAAAATAAAGTAAAAAAAAAAGAAGCTTAATTCACGTAGAAATAAAATTTAATCTTGAAATATTTCGGTTAAAAATAAAAATTAACTGAAATCAGCAAATTTAAAAAAGAATAACACAAAAACAAAAATAAATTAACAGAAAACAAAGATGAAATTTTCAATTTTAAACAATAAAGAATTTAAAATCATAATAAAAAATAATTTTATCTTTTTTCCAATATTATTATTTAAAGTATAAAAAAAAAATGAAGTCGTTTATTTTTAATTAAAGTTCTTCGTTTGAAATTGGTCGGCTAAACTAAAATTCTTCAGGTCCGTTAAAAATACCAGAAATATTTTCTTTCTTCGAAAGCAACAGAACGATACATGCCAGGAATTTCAAGCACATGCAACGAACAACATACTTCGATTTCTTTCTTTCTTTCTTTGTGGACCGGGATTCAATTCCAGAGTTATATTGACTTGCGAGGCTAAATCCACAGCAAAGAATGGTTTTATTTCTGTAAAACCGCCCCAAATGCTAAAAACTATTATTCACAACCTTTAAAAAATATAGATTATGTTCAAAAAAATAAAATTATGGGGTAAAAAAAGGGGTTTGTATGTATGTATCTTTCGAAATGCGCTTTGGATCGAAGAACTTCAACAAGATTCTTTTTTTTTTTAGACTACAGAAAAAAAAACTATGCTTACTTAGATGATTTTTCTAGCTTTTATTTGGCAAAAAGGTTATTAAAATATTAATGAAAACATCAAATATTTTTCAAAAGCGAATTTCGAATACATCGCAACAATATTTTTAAAATGCCCACTACTGAAGCAAACAACAACTGAATAGAAAGAACGGTTGAAAACAAACGATATATTTTACAGGCTTACCTTTTAGCCAAAGATTTTATAAATGAAAATAGTATCCCTCGTCCAGATTTTGTATATACAGTCCGTCTCCAGACACAAAAGAACCTAAAAATGCAGGTAGGTTTCCAAAACCCACGAGAAAATACGAAAAAAAAATCCCTTTTTCTACCCCCTCTCCCACAACAAATCTGTAATGCTGGTCGACTCAGGCAAAATCAATGAATACTGGAATCAGTCTTTCTCTCCCCGACCCTCTCTCTCTCTCTCTCTCTCTCTCTCTCTCTCTCTCTGGATTCATGACAACAGCTGCTGCTACTTCTCCAGCAGCAACAGATATACCGGAATTGGAGGATTCTTCAGGATTCCTTTCCTACTCACTCACTCACTCACTCCACTCTGCTTTGCTTTCCGTGTTTGTTTGTTTGTATTGAGTTCTCCAAGAAGACGAACACTACTCTTTGGCATCAGGTAAAAACAAGGCGGCTGTTCCACATGTCGAAAAGGAAAACATTTTTTTTAGCCTTGAAAATGCGACAATGTACAGTTTTTTTTTGTCATTGCTTCATCTTTCATTTGAAAATTTAATTAAAAATTATTATTCATGATTTTATATTATATATATAGATATATATATCCATATCCCAGTCTGTTTATCTAAGTCTCTTCATATTTATCTCATATTTCTATTCATATCTATCTCAATCTGTTCATTATCTATCTATCTATCTATCTATCTATCTATGTCAGTCTGTTCATTATCTATCTAAGCTTGTTTTCTATCTATCTATGTAAGTCCGTTCATTATCTAAGTCTGTTCATTATCTATCTATCTAGCTATCTATCTATCCATCTATCCCAGTCTATTCATATTTTTTATATATATGCTATGTGTACATATTTTTGAACTGACTAAAATAATTTTAAAATCTGTCAGTCTGTTCATTATCTATCTATCTATCTATGTAAGTCTGTTCATTATCTATCTATCTATCTATCTATCTATGTAAGTCTGTTCATTATCTATCTATCTATCTATCTATCTATCTATTTCAGTCTGTTCATTATCTATCTATCTATCTATTTCAGTCTGTTCATTATCTATCTATCTATTTCAGTCTGTTCTATCTATCTATCTATCTATGTAAGTCTGTTCATTATCTATCTATCTATCTATGTAAGTCTATTCATATTTTTTTATATATATGCTATATGTGTACATATTTTTGAACTGACTAAAAAGATTTTAAAAATTTATTTTTGGTCATTGGATCAAATTTTGGTGTGTGGGCTGATTTGAATATTCTCATCTCTCTATCGTGTATATGTTAATTCATTTATTAAGTGTGTCAAGTATCTATATAAATGAAGTGCAGTGTACACGTGTCCGTCTGTTTTTCGATCTCAGTGTATCCTAAACAACCAGAAGTAACAGGTATTAACTACTGTATTTCCATGTGATTAAAAATTAATTAACTCATTTAAATTAATTAACTCATTTAAAGTTAAATTTTTAAATATTAAACAGTGTAAAGTTTAAAAAAATAATACTTTATTAAAGGTTTAACTTTAATTTTTTTTTTTGTCACAATTGCAATGGATATCATAATTAAACCATAATTAAAACTTAAGTGGGGCACAGTACGTTGCTCATATGTTTTTTTTCTTTTGCTAGCACGCATACTGTGACGTATTCGAAATATTACATAGTTCAGCTTCCCTAATGTCTTTTAAGAGTGACTTTATGTAAAGGGATAATAAAGAATGGTGATTTTAAAAGAAAATAAAAATTGCGTGCAAAATAAATATAAACAAACTACGAAGATCAGTTGCGTATAGGAAGAAAGATTTTGCCAAATTAAGGTGTTGAATAAAGATAAAATAATTTTATTATTTCTAAATTCTTCTAACTTTTACGTACATAAGATGCTGAAGGTAAAAGCCCAGAAACCCCTCCGCAAGAGCTAGCCTAAAGTCTGCCCAAAAGGTTGCTTCTAAGCTAGTTTTAATGAAAATGACTTCACATAATGTTACACAGCATGCGCATGAAATGTTAACGTTCTTATTTCTCTTTCAGAAGTATCAAGTGCATTAACACGACAGATTCGAATCTGACAGGAAAGACATGCCAGGCTGATGACCATAGCTGCCAACTATAGTGATGGAAAGATAGCAAGCTTCTTAAACAAGTTCAGCTACTTTGTGTTCAAGGCCAGCAACAAGCATGGACATGTTATCCGCATGCAAGAGAAAGAAACATTCTAAGCAGCAAGAAAGACATGTTTGTCCAGCAGATGAATGGAGTTATTCGATCGAAGCACTTACTGAACATGCTTGAGCACTCTGAAGAGCCTAACATATATTATTTTTTTAATAAATTTAATTAAAAAAAGGTTCGAGAGTCACTCAAGGTAGAGAATTATAGTCAAAATAGTAATAACTTAGTTGTATGACATAAATAGAAGAGGAGTGTAATAAGGAATGGAACTTTTTATCAAACTTGTTTGTATCTGTTGGTTTGAAGAACCACCTTCGAAGTCATTCGAGAGAAAACAATGATCTAGATTGAATGTAGGTGTTGATGGGCAAGACAGCAGTCATCTGTGAAGATGGGGCAATCAATATATATATATATATATATATATATATATATATATAATAATATTTTTTTTGTTTAAAAATATGATTCCTTCGCTACATAAGAGTTCTCATGTTTCAAAAACAAGAGCCAAGATCATCCAAATAATTATTAAAATTAAGTTGAATTAAGGTGTTTAGTCTCGTTTCATCTTCAAGCAAAATTTTAGGAATACCTAAATCCTAAAATTTCGCTTGAAGATGAAATGAGACTAAACACCACAATTCAACTTAATTTTAATAACTATTTGGATGATTTCGGCTCTCGTTTTTGAAACATGAGAACTCTTATGTAGTGAAGGAATCATATTTTTCAACAAAAAAATATTATTATAATAAAGCTCTACTTCTGTATGGAGCACTGTCTTCTTAAAAATAAAAACAAAAATACTAAGGAACTCCAGATTATGCATCCAATGTGTTCTTTTCCATTTTCTGCATACCTGTGCACACACACACACATATATATATATATATATATATATAAGTTTTTTGTAGTACAAAATTTAAGGATAGCTTAAAGCATAATTTATATGGCATTTTAATGTATATTTTAAAAGCTAAAAAACAACTGGTTTCAGCCCAGCCTTATCAAGTTTATTTCTGGGATATAAAAAATTAAACGTGTAAATGTAATTGATATTGAAATTTTCATAGAAAATATGCATCCTCCAACAGGAGTTGAACCTGTATCCTGTACGGAACCATCATATAGCCTGACGTGCTTTTACCAATTGAGCCACAGAGAAGCGTTTTGGTTAGCAAGGTCGATTTACTGTTTTTAAACTACAATTCCCCATGATTTTCTCTCATACATTCATATCTGCTCAATGTGTATCCAAATGTAAACAAATGACGTCACACATTATGAAATGTTTTCTATCAAAATTTCTAGGACATTCAGGCCGGTAAATGTTGTTAATACTGTTTATTATAAACAGAGCATTTACTTAAATATTTGTATGTATAAAAAGAACATCTTAAAATAATTGTCTACTTCATAATATATATATATATATATATATATATATATACACACACACACATACATACACATGTCCTCTTTTACTTATATTGACCACACAAAGTTGCATGGGTGCATACAAGAAGAGGTTTGGCCATACAAATGGAAGAAGACATAGCCACATGAAATTGTATGGATGTCCAAATGTTATAAAACCAGTCTGATTCTTGATCTGGATAGAGAAGCTGGCCAGAGGTTCACTGAATATTTGTCTCCATCAAATCCTAAGTGTGCAATCCTAACCTCTGTGATTCTTCCTCACTCTACCCATTTGCTGAAACTCAAACAATAAAGATATTTATATATTTTTATATATAAGTGTTCGTCACAGGCATATACTAAACAGTGATCATAGATTTTGCAGTAGTTTTTAGCTAAGGACAACATTCCCCAGGTCTGACAGCCACCATGTTCCCCAGATCTTGGTCTTAGTGACTTTTTCTTCTTCAAAAATCAAATCCCACTTGAAAGAAACAAGGACACATGGCACAGTGGATAAAGGCATTAGTTAGATCCAGTGACAAGACTCAAAGAGTGTGAGTTCAATACCCAGTTAAGGCAGTGGAGAACTTGGAGAGGGGAATTAACAGGAGATAACTAATAACTGACATCCATTAAACATGGCACGTGGAACTAGAACAGTCTACCCCAGTGAGCGAAATAAAGGGTTCAGTTCGACATTCCAACCACCTGAAGAAGGCCGGAGTGTACAACGGCCGAAATGTTGTAATAAATATGGCGACAAAGATGAGAACAATAGTCTGAATAATGTAAATAGTGTAAGAAACAAGATTATAAAACATTGAGAGAATACTATCCTAAAAACTCTATATTGCTAATGTTTCTGGCTAAACTCTCAAATTTTATTTGCTATTTATTTTTTCTGAATAGGAGTATATAGGTCTACCTATTGTCTAGTTTTCCTGTTTGATCTTTTAAACAAGAGTAGAGGTTTATCCCTTGTTTTCTGCTTAGGATTGGGTTTCCAGTTCCTTCTAAAGTGTACTTCAACTTTATATTTCGAACATCTCTGTCTAAACTCTGAAATTTTATTATCCTTTTTCTTTTCTCAATAGGGATCAATATGTCCGCCTATCATCCGGTTTGCACTCCCACCCCCGGTCTTTTGAACAGGAGTAGAGGATTTATCCCTTGTATCAAGTTTAGAAGCTGATTTCCACTTCCTTCTAAATTCTACTTCAACTCTATATTTCTAACATCCCTGCCTGAACTCTGAACATTTATTTACTATATATTTATATTTTTACCTCAATGGGAGTAGATAGATTTCCCTATCACCCAGTTCACAATCTTCCCTGGTTTTTGAACAGGAGTAGAGCTTTATCCCTTGTTTCCTGTTTAGGATTAGATTGCTAGTTCCTTCTAAAGTTTTTTAATTCTCTTTAACTCCCAGCAGCCTCTTGCATCTTAGTGGCATTATCATCTTGCTTGGGATGAAATGATTAAATAAAATACAAAAAAAAAAACAGTTAGGCTAACAACTTTGTCTCATAAAACCTTAGTTGCTATGGAAACCATAGCAGTAATGACTTGTGATGTTAGGGGATGTGACTCCACACTTCTTAGTGGAGTTTACGGGATGAAAAGGAATGAAAAATCAAGAAGAAATGAGATGAAACTGAAAGAAAAAAGAAAACAAAGACAATTTAAAGGAGGGTGAAAGAAAAGATAGGAGAATTCTGTTTTCTAACAACTGACTGTATCAAGAAGTAACAGCAGCAGCAGCAGTAGAAAAAACGTGCTCATTGTCTGTGTGAGCAAGCAATAAAATGCAATAATATTTAGTTTAGCAACACGTGCATTGCACAAACAAAATACAGATGTGATGTTTTCTAGGAGGAGTGACATGGGTGTGTCTTCCTTTAAGGCACTGAGCCTGCATAGTAAAGGTCTCCTTCTCTCTTTCTCCTCTCGGATGATGAGATTTATCATAGCAAAGTGTAAGATTTAATCAGATATTGTACAGAGGTATTTTCATGTGTACTGATGAAATTGTAAATCTTAATAAACAAGAAAATATTAATTATTTCTTCAACAAATATTTTTTCTTTTTCATTAACACTTCCATGGCCATAAATACAATTCTCAATTGTGCATATGTGGGAGGGGGACTTTATCAGTAGTCAATGTTTCTTTTCTCATTTTTAAGCAATTGTAGTTGCATACATCATTATTAACTAGGAAAATATTTCACAACAGAAAGGCATTTTACTATAGGAATCCATTGGGAATGATATTTGATTATAGGAATGTATTGGGAAGGCTATTTTACTATAAGAATGCATTGGGAAGGCTATTTTACTATAGGAGTGTATTGGGAACACTATTTGATTATAGAAATGGGGAAGCTATTTTACTATAGGATTACATTAGGAATGCTATTTTACTATAGGAATGCATTGGGAACACTATTTGATTATAGAAATGTATTCAGAAAGCTATTTTACTATAAGAATGCATTGAGAATGCTATTTTACGATAGGAATACATTGGGA